ATTTAATTTACTCTTCATTTCAATCAACGAAACACTCATTAATTTTGAACACATTTTCAAACGATATATTAAACAAATTATCAAAACTGAAATTAGAATTACATTTAAAATGCACTAAAAATCTCTATTGAAAAGAATAATAACTTATGTGAAAATAGTGATGTATTGTAAAACACGTGCTTTCATTGTGTTTAAAATACCTGTTAAACAACTTTAATACCAATGCCCTTGCCTATTTTAGATTGTTTGTACTCTTGTAAATGTATTTTTATAATAATACTTTTCAAATCAGTGATTTGAAATCACTATTTTTTCAGTAGAATAATAACCAAAATTTCATGTTTGTTTGAATAAAACTTTATCTCCTTTACTATTAGAAGCGGCGATATAGAGGTAGAATGACATTTGAGTCATCAATGAAATGCAAACATGCAAACACATTGACTGACATCCTATTAGTAAATCTTAATTTTGGCAAAATATTATTTCAATTATTTCAAAAAATAATAAATTACGAGCCGTAATTTCGAGCTGTGCCCTCGTTTTATAGATTTAACGCACAAATTTCTAAAATGCAAATAATATAATAATAATTAAAATTAAAAAATAATTATAAATTCAAAAAATTATATATAATAGTGTTTCCAAAAGCCATCGCAAGTCGTATCAAAAGGATTATTCAAAACACGAGTAATATTACTCGGATTGAGTTCACGTACTTTAATACCATGTTTATTGTCCATCATCTGAGGCCATGAGACATCTGGCACTCTATAAATATACATAAATGTAAAAATATAAGCATAAATAAGCTAGCTAATTAAAAACTGCACACATAAAATAGGCACATATTAATCAATTACCCTGTTTTAGCGAAATTAGTCCACATAATGATCATCTGTTTGCTAAAATAGGTCTCCTCTTCTGTGAACTGATCCGGTATTATAAACGGCATCCCAAACAGAAAGGGCACGTCAGCCGTATGGCAAATACCACGTTCACAATTGGTCACATTCGCCACAAACTTGCTCTCGTAGGTCAGCTCATAGAAATAGACATTTCTACCCCGATTGTGATCATGGTTGTTTTTGGCAAACTGTTTCGCAAACACATATGTCGGGCATTTGATGGTCAGATCGCCGACAAACCTGTCGTACGCCCACTCGATCTCTCGGGGCTGATCCGTGTCCACCAGATTAAGGTAAAAGTCGGTGACATTTCTGGCGTCCAATCCGTGGTATATCTTATTTGTGGCCAAAACCAGCTCTTGGAAGACATCAGCCGTTATATTCTCGATGTGTTGGTATATATGGGACCCAAAGCCCGACCCCTCGTCGCGCACAACACCAGCCATTAGATCAATGTCTGACAGTCAAAGAAATGGCATGTGTTAACCAAAACAAAAATTATTGTAACAATTAATTAAAACATAAATTATTAAAACATATAATTTATTAGTAAAATATTTTACCCTGGTTAAATTTTTTCAACGCAAATGCTTTTTGTGCAGATATGGGCAGAAAGTCTGTGTCCTCCACAGGGAATGTCATCTCCGCCTCAAATTTCAATATGTCTTTGGTATCCGCTCTTCGCAGACATTGCAGCCAATCCTCTAATGGATTGCATTTCAACTGTTGTGCCATATCTTTGGCCAGAAGTAAGGCTTCAGTCTTATTGATCACATCCCTGTCCTTATGGTTCATATAAGATCCGCTCTCCAGTATAGCCCTCGCGAAGAGGCCTTTACTTAGCGGAGAGATGATGTGTGCGGACACAGACGACCCGCCGGCGCTTTGACCAAATATAGTGATCTGATCCCTATCTCCGCCAAACTTATGGATGTTTTCTCTAACCTATTATTATGTCATTAATTCATATATTATTTCATTAATTAAATAGAAATTATACTTAAAATAAGCAATTAATTGATACCCATTTGAGAGCCAATAACTGGTCATAAAAGCCGACATTTCCGGGCGCGTCCTCCCGATCCCCGTATAGGAAACCAAACGGTCCTAACCTATAGTTCGGGGCCACGAGTACGACATCATTGGCGGCCAAAACACTGCCGTTAAAGTCGTGGAAAAATATGGATCCAGTGGTGAGTCCGCCG